CCCCTCCCTGTTTCTTTTTTATTCCATTTCTTGTAGATTGAGTCTTTCAAATGTATGAAAACTATCTATCTGTAAGTCATTATAGAGAAAATTTTGGCTGAAAAGCAATTGTTGTTGTTAATTGCGAAGTCGTGTCTGACCCATCGCGACCCCATGGACAATGTTCCTCCAGGTCTTCCTGTCCTCTACCATCTTCTGGAGTCCATTTAAATTCACACCTACTGCTTCAGTGACTCCATCCAGCCATCTCATTCTCTGTCGTCCCCTTCTTCTATTGCCCTCAATCTTTCCCAGCATTAGGCTCTTCTCCAGTGAGTCCTTCCTTCTCATTAGGTGGCCAAAGTACTTGAGTTTCAACTTCAGGATCTGGCCTTCTAAAGAGCAGTCGGGGTTGATTCTTCTAGGACTGACCGGTTTGAACGCCTTGCAGTCCAAGGGACTCGCAGGAGTCTTCTCCAGCACCATAGTTCAAAGGCCTCAATTCTTTGGCGCTCAGCCTTTCTTATGGTCCAACTTTCACAGCCATACATTGCAACTGGGAAAACCATGGCCTGGACTATACGCACTTTTGTTGGCAGGGTGATGTCTCTGCTTTTTAGTATGCTGTCTAGATTTGCCATAGCTTTCCTCCCCAGGAGCAAGCGTCTTTTAATTTCTTGGCTGCAGTCCCCATCTGAGGTGATCTTGGAGCCCAGAAAAATAAAATCTGTCACTACTTCCATTTCTTCCCCATCTATTTTCCAGGAATTGAGAGGGCCAGATGCCATGATTTTGGTTTTCTTAATGTTGAGTTTCAAGCCAACTTTTGCACTCTCCTTCTTCACCCGCATCAAGAGGCTCTTTAGTTCCTCTTCACTTTCTGCCATTAGAGTGGTATCATCTGCATATCTTGTGCATATCATCTGCATTTCTTGCAATATAATGTTTTAAATATGGAATCCTTGATGCTGTCTGAGCTAGATGGGTTTTTTTGCAGATGTGCCATTACTACACTATGTAATGCTTTAAATAACATATCTAGGTAAGGCAGCATTTAACAGTATCAATTCCTTCTTTCTGCAGCAACTCCGCCAAGCCCCACCTTTTTTTGTTTTTGTTCTTTTGCTCTAGAGCAGATGCAGGTGGAGAACAGAGGAAAATCCCATTGTGCAAAAGATGTTTGTTCAGATAACATAAGCTGTAGCCCAGGGGTGTCAAACTTCCAGCCCATGGGCTGGATGCATCATAGCAAAACCACAGCCATCCCATTGCCAGCAATGGAAAAAAAGTTGTGATACATCATGATACATCATGTGACGTTGCAAGTTTGACACCGATACTGTAGCCCAAAACCAATATGTCCAATATTCGAAGTTGTGTATATATAAATAGCAAGATGTGATTAAGAACCATTTTAGTAACAATCACATACTCATTGTTTTTAATATTATCAACAACAATTGCATATTTGAGAGTATGAATTCTGGCCTAATTTTATAACCGTTTTATTGAAGCATTGAGAGTTTTTACTCTTCTACAGGGAAGATGCTTACTCGTTTAAATGGGTGATTGATTCTGTCAAGCTGACAGCAAAGTGCATGTGTTGAGAAGAGTAAACTGTATGCTGTCCACTGAAGCAGGGTTGATGTGATTTTTGCAATATATTTACAGCTTTATAATGTTATCCTATAGTAATAGACATGTACATTTGATAATTGAGGAAATCCTTCCTCAGCTGGGGAGTTGGTTGAGGAGATTCTAGTTCATTGTTACTAGAGAGCCTTCATTTACTATCTATGATTCTAGAGCAGGGGTATCAAACTGCCGACCCGTGGGCCAGATTCGTCACGCGGAGGCCATGCCCACCCCAGCTTTGTCAAGGGAAAAAAAGTTGCGATACATCGTGACACGTCACGTGACACGGCGTGTTTGACACGCCTGTTCCAGAGGGATAAATACATTACAAAGATAGTTTTGTTAGAAAGTTGGGATATAAAATTGCTCGTGTTGTATCTTACTTGAATGTTAAGTATTAGTAAAGAATTAAAATATTTATTTATCAATCAAATTTATACATCTGCTCATTTCATAACAATTCTGGCCCACGTACAAATTAAAGCACAATACAAAAATGGAAAAAAAGAAGATGATAACCCTCGGACCCACATACCCACATACCCAACACATTCATATAATTCATTCAGAAAACTATTATTTTTGTAAAAAAAGGAGCCAGGTCTTCAAGGTTCATCTAAAGTACAGCAAGGTTGGGACTACTTGAGCCTACAGAGGTTTATTATTCCTAAGAGCAGCAACAGTGGATAGAACCGAGAGCATGCCCATTCTGCCAGATCATATTAACTAAAAGACAGTGGGAGAGAAGTAATTCCTCAGCTAGCCAGGTCCTAAATCCAGTTTTGTAGATTAATATACATATACTGTCATGTAAAAAGAAAGTACGCCCTCTTTTTGAGTTCTCTCAGTAAAAAAATAATCTGGTCCTTAGCAGTTCTTAGAAGTAGGTAAATACAACCTCAGATGAACAACAGCACACGACATATTACACCATTTCATCATTCATTTGCAAAAAGAAAGCCAAAATGGGGAAACCATGTGTGAAAAACTGAGTACACTCTTATAGCTTCCATTAGTATGAAGAGACTTAAGTAGCAGGCAGGTGCTGCTAATCAAGTGCCCTTGATCAGTTGGTCATCAGCAAGTGTGACTACCTCTATAAAAGTGGAAGTTTTAGGAGTTTGCTGGTCTCCAGCATTGAGATGTGTGTTAACACAATGCCAAAGAGGAAAGACATCAACAATGAGTTTAGAGAAGGAACTGTTGCTTCCCATCAATTTGGGAAGGGTTATAAGGCCATTTCCAAACAATTGAAAGTCCATCATTCTACAACAGGGGTGTCAAACTGGCAACCCAAGGGCCTGATGTGTCACATGCAGGCTATGCCTACCTCGGCTCTACAAAGGCAAAAAACATGGTGATGTGTCACAATACGTCATGTGATGCGATTGAGTTTGACACCTGTGTTCTATAGTGAGGAAGATTGTTCACATTAAAGAGAGTTGCCAGTCTTCCCAGGAGTGGACTTCCCAGCAAATTCGCACCAGGGTCAGACCATGCAATGCTCAGAGAAATTGCAAAAACTCTAAGAATTACATCTCAGACTCTATAGGCCTCAGTTAACATGCTAAATGTTAAAGTTCCTGACAGTACAGTTAGAAAAAAACCGAACAAGTATGGTTTGTTTAGAAGGGTGGCCAGGAGAAAGCCTCTGCTCTCTAAAAAGAACATGGTAGCACATATTAGATTTGCAAAGTTGTATCTGAACAAATCAGAAGACTTCTGGAACACTGTCCTTGGACAGATGAGACCAAAATGGAGATGTTTGTCCTTAATGCACAGTGCCACATTTGGTGAAAACCAAACACAGCATAGCACAAACATCTCATACCAACTGTCAAGCACAGTGGTGGAGGGGTGATGGTTTGGGCTTGTTTTGCAGACTCAGGACCTGGATAGCTTGCAGTCATTGCAGTCAACCATGAACTCCTTTACATACCAAAGTATTCTATAATCAAATGTGAAGCTATCTGTCTGACAGCTAAAGCTTGGCCGACATTGGGTCATGCAACAGAACAATAATCCCAAGCAAATCTAAAACAGAATGGCTGAAAAAGAAAAGAATCAATGTGTTGCAATGGCCCAGTCAAAGTCCAGAGCTCGACCCAATTGAAATGCTGTGGTGGGACCTCAAGAGAGCTGTGCATAAACAAATGTCCACAAACCTCAATGAACTGAAGCAATGTTGTAAAGAACAATGGGACGAAATTCCTCCACAGCAATGATAAAGAGACTGATAAAGTCATGCATAAAATGATTAACGTTATTGCTGCTAAAGATAGTTCTACAAGTTATTGTAGAAGATGTACTTAGTTTTTCACATATGGCTTCTCCATTTTGGCTTTCTATTTGTAAAATAAATAATGAAATGGTGTAATATGTCATGTGTTGTTGTTCATCTGAGGTTGTATTTACCTACTCTTAAGAACTGCTAAGGACCAGATGATTTTTACTATGTCCTGATACATAAAGTCAGAAAACTCAAAGAGGCTTTACTTTCTTTTTTTACATGACTGTATATGTACAATCCTTTTTCTTCTCAACCTTTTGTTTGCCTGGGTTTACAAAAAAAAGGCAGGTTTGACTTCAAGTTACGTACCTGACTTGGATATATCAGTATCTCATCACATTAAGGTGGCTATAATAAGTACATTAAGGTGGCTATAAGCTTTCTATTTAAGTCTACAATACTTTATTAGATCATCACTGACCAATAACAAATGTTACATACTTGTATGTTTCCTCAGGAGTTTTGAAATGTCTTAGCTCTGGACAATCTTGAATGAAACAGGTTCAGCATCAGATTTCAATAGCACAGGTAGACCTCAACCTACAACCACAATTGAGCCCAAAATTTCTATTGTTAAGTGAGACTTTTGTTAACTGAGGTTTGCCCAATTTTACGACCTTTATTGCCACAGTTATTAAGTGAATCGTTGCAGTTAAGTTAATAATACAGTTAAGTGAATCACTGCAGTTGATAAATTAGTAACCTAGGTTGTTAAATGAATCTGGCTTTCCCATTGACCTGTTTGTCAGAAGTTTGCAAAAGGCGGATCACATGACCTTGGGATACAGCAACAGTCATAAATATGAACCAGTTGCCAAGCGTCTGAATTTTGGTCACATGATCATGGGGATGCTGCAAAGGTTGTAAGCTTGAAAAACAGTCATAAGTCATTTTTTTCAGTGCTATTGCAACTTTGAATGGTCACTAAATGAATTGTTGTAAATCAAGGACTACCTGTAGATGGCTTTGATTACATGGATTCATGATGAACACTAACAGTTAGATGTCAGTAGACATTTTGCCTTTAAAAATAATTGACAATTTGGGTATTATATGCTATTCTTCAGAGAATAACATTCATTGTGTGCTTTTACAGGTAACCCACATACCCTTTTCAAAATTTGGACACTACTTTGATTTATCTAAAACAATGGCTCCAGAACTAATCCAAAATGTTAAATGGGATGGTTTTTTCATTCCTGAAGAAACAGGCTTGGATGTTGATGAAAAGTCATGGTGAGTTCACAATTCTTGGGCAGAAAAAAAGGCTAATTATAAAAATATGTTGACTGGCCAAGAACACAAATAAAATACTTCAAAGTTTGCCAGTATTTTCACTATATGTTGACTTCACCTCCTAACTGCAAAAAAACCTGGGTTTGAAAAAAAACGCAATCTTGTTAATTTACTGATAGATACTATTGGACCTCACCCAAATTTTCTCTCTGTGCCCACAAAATACTAATATAATTAACTCCCCTAAATAGCCAACTGTAATATTTGGATAGCCTACTTTAAAGGATTGACTCACTGTTAGACACAAATTAAAAATGAGGAAAACCCTGTTATAATACACACAGTTTAACTGTTAGAAATACTTTTATGTTAGATTCTTTCATCCAGTATCAGTAGATAAGTATGGTATATAGAAAAGAAGGAAGGATTATGTGAAAGAAAAGAAGAGCTGATTATAGCAGAGACACTTGTTCCACGGGAAAGAGAGAGAGTTCTGGTGGAGAATTTGCTTTCCCCAAACTACATCAAATGTTATATTTTTGGTGGGGATGAATGCTGTTGAATTAATGGAATTAGAACTATTGAGATGTGAGGAAAAAACATTCATGGACAACATGACTTACAGTACTATCTGTAAACTATCACTTATCGGGGATAAGGCATATAAATTTAATTAATAAAGTGTCCTTTGTGTTCTTTTCATCTCAGTGATCTTAGCCATTAAAAAATCAAGTTGCCTCCACTTGATGTTTTAGCTACCTGGTTCTATAACAACAGTTAGAGCCAGAACGATAAAATAACGGCTGTGGAGATCTGCATGTGGAAAAGGAGCTTTTAGTTCAACCCGGTGAATTTCAAACTCCCTCCACATCTAGAGAGTTCCCACCTTTATGTCTGAAAGGAATAGCACTTCCGCAAACATAGCTAATACACAATGTGTAATCCTTCAGGGTGATAATTTCACTGAAATTTGGCAGAGCTGTGAGAATTGCAGAAATGAGGCTGGGGTAGGCACATGGGCTATGGGGTATTTGTCTTCTAAGTCTAGTAGATGTAGAGGGGCCTATTCAGGTTTAATAATGACAAGGATTCATTTGGTTTGTTGAAGTAGCTCTCCATGGCTCATTGGTGAACTAAAGTGCTAGAAATGCAGGAACTAAAAACAACTAGAATAGTTGTTTTATATGCTGCCACACTGAGCATTTGTTAACTAACCTGTTTAAAGACATTTATTCCTTATTTCTTATATTTGTAAAATTGAATTTTTGAATGTTTCAGCTAATATAAAAATATATTAAATAAAATATTCTGGTTCTCTCTTTAGTAATAAGGCATGTGCTTACACCAGACTGCTTCATTCTATTCAGAAAGTCATTTGTCAACAAGGGTACAGTGGGTCCACTTTTCAGGTATTAAACTTACTTCAGATATTTACAAGCATATAAGATACACATTTTTATAATGTCTGAATGGATCAGGGGTTCTCAACCTTGGCAACTTTAAGACTTGTGGACTTCAACTCCCAGAATTCCTCAGCCAGCAAAGCTGGCTGAGGAATTCTGGGAGTTGAAGTCCACAAGTCTTAAAGTTACCAAGGTTGAGAATCCCTGGAATGTATGATTCAACAGCAAATATGTTTGATTCCAAGCACTTATAACACTTTCATAATTGTTTTTTAATGACCACTTATGAGAGGCTTCATTAATGATACTTACATTTTTCATTTATATACTGTATATTTGTGGTTGGAAAAAAATACAAATGTTTAGTGCATAAACGGTTAATTTTACTATCTCATTCTCTCCAAAGTATGATAATGCAAAACTCTAGCAGTTGAACCTCTGGTCAATTTCTCCTTAAAATTCTGCATTCTTTCTCTGGTTTTATTTATTTATTTTTGTATTTGTCAAGCAGAATTTTCCTGTTTAATTTAGTTCTCAGCTTATACATAGCTTTACGGGTAAACATGTTTTCCCTTTAGAAGTAGCAGTGCCCTTCTGGATAAGTAAATTGGTCCCTGACAGGCATCTCTGCTTTGGTTGCCATAGCAACAGGCATGTCGTAACAGTTCTCCTAGTACAGCATGTTGAGCTGTTCCTCCAACATGATGACAAGTCCTTTGGAAGCAGAAATTCATAGAATATTAGAAGCAACTGCACCAAAGTGACAAGAAAATCCTGACAGCAGGTAGCAAATAAAATGTTCCTGGAAAAGAGATAAAAATTGTATTTAAGTATGGTCTCTCATTATTTTTAATAGATATCATAAGTGGATGAAACCATTTTTAGGTAAGAACAATAGGCCATTGTATGGATTTTTTTAAGAAAAGAGAAAACAGTATTCATTATATCAAACTTAATAGTGTTTAAGGACAATGAATAACTAAAGAACAGGAAAATACTACAAATAGCAGCAAAACAGCAGAATCAAAATAAAATAAAATATAGCCAGAGTACTAACCTATTAAAATAATAAAGTGAGAACGGGATCACTTATGACTAAAAGCCTTCTTGAAATTTAAAAAGGAAACAGGCTTGGAGCTGTTATGTCATCATTGTAGTCTCCTCTTAGTTTAAGGATGTTGAGACAGCCAAAAAAGTTGTAAAAATGGAAGTCCTCTTAAGCTGTTTCTATGCTATACCTTGGACTTGTGGTGAAGTGAGATATCTGAGCGTTGTTATTCCATGCATAAGTGGAAGGCAAAATCCAAGCTAATGATTAAGCACTGATTTTTTGAAATTTTATTTACTAAAATAGTGAAATACGAAAGGAAAGTCTCTTTGTCAAATAGTGATTAATCAGTACAGAGAAAAAAATATACCAATGATTAAATGAACTAAACATAACCAACTTCACCTCCCCACATTTAATTAGATATATAAATATTTATATTTCAGTTAATTCAATTAAGTTTTATCTAAACCATGTATCACTGTACTGTGTCATTTGGATTTTAGAAGAAAAAAAATTAAAAATAAAAAGCACATTCTTAGCCTGGATCCCTTCTTTAAATTCAGGAAAATGACTTTTTTTCTACTTGCATAGAATTATCATCTTTGCCATATCCCAGCCTCAAAGCTTATCATGAGATGAAAAATTCCATGTTTTAGGAATATAATTTGACATTACACCGAAATCCTTAACTACGTTTCTTCCACATGTACTTTCTTGTATTTACTTGAAACCAGAACAGGGCTATACCGGACAAGAGCAATTCACATGAATTAAAGAACTTTCAAATTTCTTGTGACTGGGCATTTTGTCCCATGTAAATAGCCCAGATGAACTCTGTTAAAGCGCACTAGCAGCAATATATTTTCGAGTTTATCCATGCTTGATTGAAGATCAGCTTCAAAAAATGTCATCTCTAGAGATATTTGTAATGTATTATTTGTTGCTTATTACATTTATACCCCGCCTTTGAGGATACTATAGCGGTTCTCCTTTAGCAGTTCACAATTATAAACTATTGAAATAAAATTGAAATATTTCATTTATTAACTTTATATCATGCCTTTACCTGAAGTGTCTTCAATATAGTAATACTGTCAAAAAAGTAAAGTTAAAAACATGATCTATGTATTCCACATTATGTATTTTAGCATTATGAAGAGAAAAATGAAACCTATAGTAGTTAAAATCTGATCAGGAACAAGCTGGTTTCAGACGGTACTTATCCTTTTTAGCAAATGAGTCATATCCATAGGTAATTTCATTACTTTAGTTGGTTTCCTTTTTTTAAAAAAAATGTACTTTAGATTATGGAGAGATATTTTTAATTATTAACATTATGTTATACACCATGTGATATTCATTGTAGAAATGTCAAAAATGTTTCTTATAGTTTTTTAAAAAATATTTTTTTTGCAGTTCCCTTTTTTCCTTTATCAATTAATCTAGAAAACTAGTATAACTGGACTATAAATTATATTTAGCTGGTGCAAAGATTTTATTAGTTTTAATTTATTAATTTTTATGGCATGCACTTCAGGAGTCTTTAGATGGCTTATATCAGACATGTCAAACACAAGGCCCGGACACTGGATGCAGCCCACGAAGTGGTTTCATGTGGCCCACGAAGCCATCCTGGAAACAGTGAGGGAACGGCCCCCGCTGCCTTGACCCTGGCCCTGGCTGGCCAGGAGCCAATGTACAATTTTGTGGTGGCCATCTTGGCACTTGCCCCAGTGGACCATGCCTTGGCACTTGCCCTGGTCCCACCCCCTTCTGCCAGAGACCCTCAGATCTGTTCCACTCCTGCCCAGGCCCCCACAGGCACCCTTGATGCGAATGATATAGAACTGGCCACGCCCACCCAGTAGGTCACACCCACCCAGTAGGCTGCACCCACTCTGACCACACCCACCCAGCCCCCCAAGGGCAACTGCAATGCTGATGTGGCGCTCAGTGAAATTGAATTTGACACTCCTGGCTTATATAATCCAAAGACAGTAAAATTTAGAACAATTAAAACCCACAGAAACAGGCAGCCTAGACAGAAGCAAAATAGATAATGTTTTTTTATAGTTGTTCACTTATTTAGAACCTTTATATGGTTGCTTATCTTAAGTAACTCTAAGAATAAAAACTAAAAATAATTGAATGAATGAATGAATGAATGAATGAATGAATGAATGAATGAATGAATAATTTAATTAGAAACTAACAGAGTTGGAAAGGACCTTGGAGGTCTTCTAGTCCACAATTAAATGTTGGATTCATTAACTTCCAAAAGCAATTTTTAGTTCTTTTAACTGAGACGAATCATAAGGTAATCTTCAGTACCATTTTTTTAATTATATCAATGTATTGATAGAATTATTTATAGTCACTTCAAGCATAGTTATTCACATTTTTATGAAACAGTAGTGTAATTTGTATATTACACCAGACACTTGTAATATGTATCTGTATCCTCTAAAAACATTCCAACTGTTTTTTTCCTCAAAACTGTTTTTTATTTAGATACTTATGGAATGCTTAAATTGGTCAGCTGAAAAGATACTTGTGGGGTTTGTTTTGTTTTGTTTTGCTTTGCTTTTATATTTTTTAACGCAGAAGTTATTTTCTCTTCGTTGCATATAAAATAACAAATTGCCCCAGAGTTAGTATTTTCTTCTTGAACTTACAGGTTCCACTAAAATCCTTTTTCTTTTTTCATATTTGATAGAAAAAACAAAGGAATGTGTTGAGAATAGGAATTCAGAGTCTTGGTTCAGTATTATGGGGTGATGATATCTGTTGTACTGAAAATCCAGAAAATCTGCACAGCCTCACCAGATTTATGTATGCTCTACGCGGCCTCCTGAGATCCTCATTATCGGTGTGCATCATCACTGCTCCAACTCATCTGATCCAAGTAGGTTCAATCCAATTACTATAGTCAATCATGTTAGATACACAAAGAAAAGGTCATTGGATTATTAGTAATCAGAACATGCTAGGGGAATATTACTTAATACCCTACTTCAGTATTTCTCAGCCTGTGGCCATGGACCGCTGGGGGGTGATGTCATCACGGGGTCCACGAAGGTTTGTTATGATTTAAATCTTGAGTTAAATCTTGGGGATCTGTGGCATGGTCCATGGCCACAAAAGGTATTTAAAGGGGATCCGTGATGAAGAAAAAATTGAAAACCACTGCCCTACTTTATTGTGGCCGTTTTCCTTTAGTAGCAGATAATTTTCAATTTCCTTTTTATTTCGTATAGCCAAATTAAAATGGGATTCTTTGCTAATATTCCCTAGTACTTCATAATGATTCCTAATGAATTTGATAAAGAGAATTATTAGTGTAATTCCATCCTGCAGTGAAACTTTGTGCTTTCTTCAAATGGCCACTAGAGAAAGGAAAGGCATTCTAAGGAATGATATTGGATAAGGTGCATGGGATTGTCCAGGATAAGGAAACAGGGAAAATGGAAGATGGTGCTGAATTTGTGATGTGTTTATTCTCTAGGGATTATTTTTTATCAAACAAATGACACGAATGTTTTCTAAAGGGAGCACTAAAATATTTGGGAATCTACGAATTTAATGAACAATCAAATTTTATGTTTCCTAACCAGTCCCTTCTGTCAAAAGATGGTATCTTGATTCTGATTTTGTTTTAGGTTTCTGAAACATTCTCCACTATTTTGGCGAATGGGCTTTATAATCCCATATGTTGTCTTTCTGTTTCTAGACTTAAGAATGAGAAATAATTGTTTTAATAATTGTGATGCATTTGTTCCATGGACTAAAACTTAAGAGTTTCTCGGAATAGTTAAATTTCCAGGACCTCCTCTCTGTTAAGACACAACTTAATAGAGTGTTTAAATTGCAGAGCAAGCTGTCATTAGGAGCAAAGGGTCTGAGGTTTTCCTATATTACAGACTACTCAGTTCCCAGAGCCCTGCTGTGTAGTTGTTCCAGTCTCCAAGAAGCCTGTTAAAGAGCCCCCAAGAGCATGTGTCCAGCCCTCCATGTTAATAGTTAATTGGTGAGGATGGCAAGATGAGAGGACAGCCGAACATGTGGTCTCTCCGTCTCAGGCACTAGTCAGACTTTTTAGTTCTAATAACAGCAGCTGCTCACATTCTCACTACTCAGCTTCTCACAACTCTGTTGCTGGGATTTGTGAGTGGATTAGAAATGTAAAAAGATCTTTGTCTAAAAGACCAACAATTTCCTTTCCTTTCCCTCTTTTATCTATGCTTCTATTTGTATAATACTATATTGTAAAAGTAATAGATTTATTATTTTGGTAGCCTGCCTTTCAGGAAACTTCTTTACAAGTCATGTCAGATAATTAAGATAGAATAAAATCTGCAAATTTAGGATCATAGTATTTTTTAACATTTAACAGTCAAAATATTGCTAGCATATTTCTAAAACAATTTTTAGAAAATAATTTATGTAAAATATTCTACATAATCCAGTAGCTTCACACTTTCTGCTCCTATAAACTTAATCTAGTAATTTCTAATTTAAGTACTTTACAGTATAAGGATATATATAAAAATAATATGGATTGATAGATTTAAGAAATATTCCAAATCACCAACAATCAAAATTAGCTCTTAAAGAAAAGGAAGCTTACAATATTGGTTAAACAAAGTATAACTAATCCAGACAGAAAATCAGTACCTATTATAACCAGCAATGGAACATAGACTACAAAGATCAGATGATGTTAATGATTGTATAAGGTATTATCCCTTTCAGCAAAATAGCATCTATCTATTAATTAATACTTTCTCCTCATATCAAGCTCTGCCAAATGTACCCTTCAGAAGTGTTTTCTTAATCAGGAAAATATACAGTAATGGATCTAGAGCTAGGGATTAAATAAATGGAAGATGTTCATCTGGGGATTGGGGACCCTAAGGAAATTTTTGAAGTTGGAAGTCAGTTAGAGGCACTTAGAACATGTGGAGCTTTGATAATGTAAACTGTTTCTGGAATTCCCCCTTCCCATTGAAACATCTCAGTTTTAAGGAGAGGCTTTTTCTGTGGCTCACAAAGTGAAGAAAAGAAGAGACAGAAAAGCACAAATATGCATGAGTGGCAAGCTCTTGATAGTCACAACAATTTGCAAGATGTTTAACAACAATGTATTGGAAATGGAATCATCATGCATGTTCTATATTGTTCAGTTCAGTTCATAGTTTATTTGTTGAAGTAAACCTGTCTCATAAGAAAATGGACTTAGGAAATACGTTACCAATCTATTCTAAAAAAATAAAATATTTTCAACTCTATTTTGTGTCCTATATTTATTATAATTATTAAATTATATTAGACTAAAATGTACTATTAAACTATTATATATATATATATATATATATATATATATATATATATATATATATATATATATATATATATATATATTTCAGAACAGCTAGTTTTTTAATTCCTTGCATTTTCAAAAAGATAAATAGCATTTAAGTTATTATCTAGCAGTTAATACGTTGTATCGTTTCCATCTTCAACCAGAAAAATTTCAAGCTCCTTCAAAAGAAGATATTAAAGAAATTAACTTTCATAAGAACATCACTAGATTTATGCTACAGTGGATATAGAAAGCCTATACACCCCTATAAAAATACCAGGTTTTTGAAATGTAAAAAAACCAGGATAAATCACTTCAATATTTTTTTTCCACATTTAATATAATACATAAACTGTACAGTTCAGCTGAAAAAGAAACTGAAGTCTTTTAAGAGAGGAAATAAAAACTAGAATAATACTGCATAATAATGCACACCCTTAAATGAATACTTTGTTGAAGCATCTTTTGGTTTTATGACAGCGTTCAGTCTTTTGGAATAGGAACCTATTGGCATGATGCATTTTGCCTTAGGAATCTTTGCCCAGTCTTCCTTGAAAAGCAGTTCAAATCTATCAGATTGTGAGGGCATTTCCTTTGCACAGTTTTCTTCAGGTCACCTCACAAATTTTCAGTTGGATTCAGGTCCAGGCCATTCCGAAACTTTGATCTTCTTCTGATGAAATCATTCTTTTGGACATATACTTTGGGTTGTTATAGTATTAAAAGATGAAAGTCCTCTTCATCTTCAACATTTTTAGCAGGTTTTGTGCTAAAATTGACTGGTATTTGGAACTGTTCATAATTCCCTCCACCTTGACTAAAGCCTCAGTTCCAGATGAAGAAAAGCAGCCCCAAAGAATAATGTTGTCACCACCATGCTTCACTGTGGGTATGGTGTAGTTTTGGTAATATGCAGTATTGTTTTTGCGCCTAACATACTTTTTGGAATTATGAACAAAAAGTTCAACTTTGGTCTCATCAGGCTATAACACATTTTCCCACATGCTTTAGTTAAACTTGATGTAGGTTTTTGCAAAATGTAGCCAGGTTTGAATGGTTTTCTTGATAAGAAAATGCTTCCGTCTTGCACCCTATCCCACAGCCCAGACATATGAAGAATCTGAATTGTCACATGTAGTACACAACCAAAAGCACCTTTGGTACATAACCAATACTTGCCAGAACTTCTTGCAGCTCCTTTAATGTTGCTACAGGCCTCTTGGTAGCCTCTCATATCAGCTTTCTTGTTTTTTCATCAATTTTGGAGGTACTTTCTGTTCTTGCTAATGTCATTATACCATATTTTCTCCACTTGTTAATGACTGTCTTCACTGGTTCCATAATATATCCAACGCCTTGGAAATTTTTTGTATCCTTCCCCTGACTGATACCTTCTAGCAATGAAATCCTTTTGATGCTTTGTAAGCTCTTTGCAGACCATGGCTTTTGCTCTAAGAGGCAACTGAGTAAAAATCAGAAAAATCCTACTAGAACAGCTGAATTTTTTATAGGCTTGATCAGAGTCATTTTAATTGATGGCAGGTATCTACTGACTACTATTTACCATCAGTTTGAATGTGATTAGTTAATTCTGAATGTAGCCACATCTCCACTTATAAGAGGGTATGAACACTTATCCAGCCACATTATTCTAGCTTTTTACTGTTATTTTCCCTTAAAAGATTTCAGGTTGTTTTTCAATTGAATTGTACAGTATATGTTATATTAAAGATGTAAAAAAATTCTGAAGTATGCAAATGGTATATTTGCATTATCTGAAATAAATAAATCAAACTAGAATGATTTATTCTGATATCAGATTGTTTTCTGGATAATGGATATGGAAATTGGTAGAAAACTGGATGTAGGAACCCTAAGTTCTGATAATCATTGAGCTACAAAGTCATACTTCCTAACTAAATGTAAATTCACTGGAAGAAATTGAAGAATGCTACAGCTCCTCCCAAGCTCATTTCATTGTTCTATTTCTCATTACAGTTTTAATTATAGGATCATAATTTTATGAGTAGAGCAGCATTCTCTACTCCTTTCCTACTCAGGCCTCCAATATAGCTCTCTTAAGTTTCTCCTGAGGTTGGAAGAAGCCTTGGCAATGGATTGAAATGAGACATGAGGTACTGGAAAAGGCCTTGCTCTTGAACTTGAGTGATTGCTTTTTCCTGTGAAAATTGTTTATGCTTTGTCCCTCACTGCTCTTCATATCCACTAACTCTTGGAAACCATTCTCATGGGGGAAATGAAGGGAAATTCATTAATTAAGGCATTTTATTTTTGCTTTTTCACCGCCTTGCATTAGTGTGGAATAAATACACCCATACAAGCTTATAGAGAAGTGTGTGTAGGAACAATTTGTCCTATTTAATTGAAGAGGTGGTGTGGTAATGCTGGAAAGAGTAATAGAGCTTTATTTGCAGTGGCTTAAGTGGTGACTGTATTCCTTTCTACTCTGCATTAGAAAAATGTTTCTAGAGTACAATTAGCTCAGATCTCCCAATTTTAGAAGAAATGTTAAAATGAAATTG